AACGCGCCGCCCCGCACCGGCAACGCGCCGCCCCGGATCCGCAACGCACCGCCCCGCACCGGCAACGCGCCGCCCCGGCCCGGCCCGCGCGGGTCCTGAGCCTGCCCCTACCCCCGCCACTGCCCCTGGCCCCGGCACTGCCCCAGCCCGGGCACTGCTGCTGGCCCGGCACTGCCCCAGCCCGGACACTGCCCCTGCTTCTGGCCCTGGCCCGGCACTGCCCCGGCTACTGGCCCTACTCCTTGCTCCAGCACTGTCCCTGCCTCTGACCCGGGACTGCCCCTGGCCCTGACCCTGCCCCAACCCGGGCACTGCCCTTGCCCAGGCAGTGTCCCTGCCCCTACGCCTGCCCCTGATGCTGACCCCGGCACTGCTGCAGCCCGGCTACTGCCCCTGCTCCTGGCCCTATTCCTGGCCCTGGCACTGCCGCTGTCCCCGGCACTGCCCCAACCCGGGCACTGCCGCTGTCCCGGGTCTGCGGCCACATCTCGGCCACGCTGCTGCCTCCGCCGTGTGATCGAGGCTCGGGCTGCCCAGCTGCACCCCCAGCGGCTGCTCTGCCCGCTCCCTCCTTCCAACAGGTCTCTCTGGTCCTGTCAAAGTGCGGCTCAACTTGGACAGGGCCTGTGCAGCGCCGCTAAACCCGCGGGCGGCTGCGGTTGTCACTGCTGGTGTTTGTTCATGACGATTAACGCACACAAGTCATCGTGTCCACGCGAGGCTCCCGTGCCGTCCCTGTCCCACTCGCAGCCCCACCGCCGTCACCCGCTCGCGCGGTAGCTCCGCGTGCTCCCTCGCTTGCTCAGCCCCTGCTTCAGCCAGAACATTATTACTCTTGGGTGGATTTAAATGTTTTTACTCCTCTTTTAAAACTCTTAAAATAATCTAAACCAGCTGCCGGGTAAATGAGAGCCAGGTCCCCTCTCTGCTTTATAATCCCCAGCATGTCTTGCAGCAGAGCCGAACGTTCCCCACCGCAGTCCAGGAGCAACTGGGAGGAATGGTTATTTTTTCCCCCATATATATTTATTCTGCTCAGGCTGCTCCGTTGCTCCAGCTGGGTCATAAAAATCCCTTCCAGGCTTAGGCTTGATTTACAAGGTCGTGATCTGTGAGTGATTTATTTATTTATTTACACACTATTTACTTAACCCTGACTAAAGGCCATGCACCAGCTTGGACCTGCTGCTTGGCACACTATTCCCGCACGTTCCCATGAATTTTGCTGCTTTCTGTCTGACGGACCAATGTGCAACCCCTTTGGATGGGGAGGAAGGGAGCCTTGGTGTCTCCATCAGCAAAGGGAGGCCTTATCCTGAAGGACTGTGGCTGGGGATACTTGTCTATCATGGTGCTACTCAAGCCTGATTCTCAGCAGCCAGGTCATGGGGATAGAAATCACTGTGGAACAGTGGAGCTTTGGGACTGAACCATTTTCTCCTGTAGATCTCCCTGGAATAGGTAAAGCAGCCACCAGCTCTGCTGTCCGTTCCTACCCCAAATCCTTCATACTTGGCAGATGCTCTGATGGATTTTGTGAAAGCATATGGTCCATTTTAGTGCAAAGCCAGCCAGGTTAAAATCTGGTAAAATCTTAAACGCCTTTCCCAAGATGACACTGGTGGTGGGAAGCAGAGCTAGGACTCGCATCTCACTAATCTTGGAGCTTCATCCATCCATCTACCATGTGTTCAGACCTTTTGCTGCTACCTATAAAGCTAATAAATGTTACAACATGCCAGCTTTGCCAGATGATGACACCTAAATACTTTGCAAAGAAATATAAGCCTAAAGATGGGAGAAAGAAAGGAAGATACTGTGTATCATGCAGAAAAATAGAAGACACATAATCAAGCATTGCTTCCCAGTACCTTTGTGGTTCAACACGCAGCAATCTGTAATGCCAGATCAGAGCTGCAGCAAGAATGTCTTCGGTAAACAATGCATCTCCAAAGGAAAAAAGTAAGTGTATCTGCAGTTTTCATACAGAAATCCCTCTGGTTCTTACAGCCTAGAACAGCCAGATAATAACTGTAGGATCAACCCCTTTCAGGGAGAGTGCTGGGGACAGTGGACAAGTCCATGTTCCATGGACAGGCCATTGACTTGCTGCTATGGTCAGGACCTGGATTTCTGGGAATTTCTGAGCTCCATATGTTGATAGGAGAAGGATTTGCACAAAGAGAGGTGATGAATGTTTGTAGAAAGAAGGATGGTGGAGTTAATAAATGAGGAGACCAAAGAGACTATTTTAGCTTATTGATGACATTGTAAACTCTTAATGTAGTTGCAGGAAGAAAGAATTGTGGGAGTAGGAGCAATAATTTAGATGAATACAAGAAGATTTAATGAGGGGTAATATGATGAATTTGAAAGGGAAAAATTGCTATGAATATCTGAAGGAGCTTTTATGATGTCAAACCCATTAGGTTGCTAGAAGTAGCAGTGGATGTCTCATCACTCCAGCCTTTATAGTTAGATTTGACAAAACTCTAATTCTCAGCTTTGGATCAAACTGCACCGTCTCTAAGATCTGGACATTTCCTGCTCTTCTTTTTAGCATTAGCATGGTTTCCTACCATATCTCAGCAACTTGGGTCTTACCAGGTATCTTTCAGTTTTCCTAGTGCAAAGAAAAATCATCTCACTGAGTTTTGCTACTGGGCAACCAGCTGGGTTTAAGGCAGATTTACTGGAGATGTGGAGTTTGTCCCTGGCTGCTGGGCTTGTGTGGCCAGAGCAGAGCTGCCTGTCCCACACAAGGTGGGACTGAGCCAGCCTGTTGTGACCTGGCAGGATCGTGTCATCGTCGCCCAGCCATGACCTCACTGCAATCAAAATCAGGCGTTACTGTTATTCATTTAATATAAACTTAAATATCAACTGTTTGTTCTCTTAGGCATTAGTCAGAGTCCACTGAAATGCCTGGAAGGTCTCGTGTTGATTTCGGGAGTTATGCACTGTTGTCATTCTTCTTTCTCTGGAGAACTAGAACTATGTAAAGGCAAATTAAAAATGCATTTGCTGCCATTGTTTTCTCCTTGCTGTCCTCCTAAATCCCTTTGTAAACTCGGCATACATCTGAGAAACCATTTTGTGTTGGTTATCTAAACATTTTCACAAAAACCTGAAGGAAAGGAAAGTAGGGGAGAAACAACTTTCAAGTCTTTCTGCAAAGTAATCAGGCTTGCCCTCTGTTTTGTCCCATGAAGAAAGTATCACTGGGCTATATTCACATCAGACATTTGTTATTAGAGAAATAGAGACATGATGGAACACTGCCACAAGATCCATGTCTCTTGTTTTTAAAATAAACATCTTGGCTTTGACTTGACATTTATTTTCCATAAATGCCTCAGCTTCAATTTGGCATTTCTGTAGCTGCGGGAGACCGTTATCCTGTGACAACATGCAATTCCGCTGACATTATCTCTTTATTACATGTGACAGTGAGCCAAATACTGTATACACTTGCCTGCAGCCAAACAATGTGATGGAAAAACAAAACAAATGTATAGCCTGCACTGGGTGTTTGGCTCCATAATTACATGAGATACATGTAATGAGTGGTGCAGCACTATGTGACTTGGTGCATCCAAGGTACTGAATGCCTGTCAGTTCCTGCTGACTTCTGGTGCACTGGCTAGCATGTACAGGACCTACCACGCCAACAGTTTGAAAAGCTCCGAATCAAGTTGAATGCACACGGATAAATCCTGCTGCTCTGAAGATCCCACCATACTAACATGGCTGTTGTTCAGAGCAGTTTTTCATGAGAGGAGCCTCTTACAAGCACTAATTCCCTCCAACTCCAAAAGGTGCAATGACTCTCTGTCTTTTAGTCTGTCTTTCTATTGTATACTGAGAAAAAGAGGAACTCCCAAGTGAGAAGCCTCTTTGGGCTCTGAAATTTGGGTTGTGCTCTCTTGGAAAAGTCAAACCTCAGGAAAAGGTTGAGTTTGACCAGTGGGTTCAACTCTATTAAGTTCTTCTAGAATGGACTGTGGACCTTCTTTTATTTTTATTTTTTATTTTTATTTTTATTTTTATTTTATTTTTATTTTTATTTTTATGCCCTGCAGGCATTATTTTTTCTCCATAGGAATGAGCTCAAGTCTCTATTTTCCCTATATTCCACAAAATTGTGGTGATTTACATAATTCTATCCACAACCTAAATGAAGGGCCCTTGATTGAGGTCTTCATTTGGACAGCAAAGGAAGGGACTGACTCTAGCCTGGAAATACATCTCCTTCAGAACATGGGTTTGGGTTTGTACATGCAGAAGAAGTTTGGACTGTGAGTAAACTTTCTGGCTCATGCCATATATATTTATGTAAGGTAAAAAAAATCTGAGAGAGTTACACCAATTTACACTTATCAAGGAGCTTGCTCTTTGTCAATCCAGCTGCTGGTTTTCAAAATATACTCCAGGCAGACCCCATGCCACATATCTCAGAGGAGATCTGTAATTCAGTTTCTCAGCATCTAGAGAGAAATTCTTATTCCGTGTTTCTCAGTGACACTTCACTATTTGTGAGATGGATCAGTCCCTGGACTGATGTCCCAAGCCATGCAATGGTTTTACTATTGTGCTACTAATCATCCAGTGAGACTGAATTTTCCCTGGGAAAAAGCAATGCCTAAACTTTGCTACAAACAAGTTGGGTTTGGCATTTCTGGAAGTA